CTTTAGGGCATGTCTTACTCTTTCCCAGTGTGAGCTCATAAAGTGTCTTGGATTCTGACTGAGACTTGTCGTAGGTCTTGCAATCCTGCAAGTACTGAAGGTATCTCGAGTGCCCGTTGGTGGCGGTGAACCTCTTCCAGGCTACCCGCTATCTACTCAGTAATTAAGCTAACCGTCGAGACCACCACCGAGGGTTAATGGGTCTACTGTATTGATCGATTTGTGAAAATCCTACCAGTAAAGCTCAGTCAATCTATCTCGGTTCCACATTCCGTGAATTTCATTCATTCATTCACTCAACACTATCCGCCTCACACATACATAAACATTTGACATTCCACTCCCTTTGTACATTTACACATCGATCCTACCATTTGACTTTGTTTGTTTATCTGCTTCATTCGTACCCTACATGTTTTAATCGCGACCTGAGCTCTCACATTTGGCTCGTTCGTGTTCAGCGCGACAGTGAGCATGCTGTTCTTATCCAGGCTAATTTTTTCCGTTCAGAATTACACTCACAGTAACAATTGGCTCTTGTTTTCAAGTTAATTCGACATCACTTTGAGGTTTTTCCGTATTTATTTGCTTATTTGATTGTCTATTAATGCAGTACCGTAGAAACTTGCAGGATCATTCGTTTTGTTGACCTTTTGGGATCCGATTTCGACTATGAGTTACTCGTTGATCTACTCGGGAGGCACAGTACTCAAATTCGCACAATTTGGAACACGAGAATGTTGTTCGAACAAGGAATGATTGAGGAGGAAGGACAAGAAGCAATTCGGCAAGTCACATGGAAATTTTGGGGGGGGGGTTGATTCTCACATTTTTAATTCAGTTAGTCCTGTTAGTGTTAGGAGTTTTTGTGCCCTAGATTATGATGCTGATGTTAAGATGTCTGCTATATCTCCGTAAGATTGTATAGTCAGAGATTAGGTCAATGAAGCTCAGGGAATCAGAAGCTAGGTAACCTTGCTCGACTAAGAATGCCTCGGCGGAAAAACAAACTCTTCCAATTAGACTTATGTCGAAAGTGGCTCAACCACCGATTGAAGTAATGTACCGTCACCCGTCGATAGATCTGCTCAAGGTGGAACTAACACCATTCGACGGTAACCCCAGAAACTATTGGAGATTTATTAGAGAATTTAATAATTTCGTTTAGTGTCGGGTCGCCGACCCAGGGCAAAAATTCCTGTATCTAAAGCATCACTACCGCGGGAATGCCCGGGACGCTATCGAAGAGTGTGTAATGCTGCCAAGCGAAATTAAGTATAACCGAACAAGGGACGTTCTGAAGGAACTGTTTGGTCAACCGTTTCACGTGGCATGGACGCTCATATACGGGGAGCTTGCCAAGGCCCGTAAAGCGAGAAACGAGCCCGAATCGTTGATGAGACTGGTAATAAAGATGCAAAACTGTTTCATTGTCCTGATTCAAATGAATAACGAAGCTGATTTGAACGCAATACACACCCTAGAGGCAGTATTACGATGCCTGTCGGCTGACATACAGCGGCGATGGGTGGAGGAGGCGGTGGTTATTGGCCGTCTAGGGAATTCATCCGAAACCGTGACAAGGTCGCTAGCAGTCGCTTCGAACCATTTGCCAGCATGAGAAGGCGAGGAGAGAGAC